AAAAAAAACCCAACTTACCTCACCCATGGGGTAGTGCCTGTGGCTCAAAAGGGTAGGGCACTGGCCCCATATGCTGGAGGTGGTGGGTTCAAACCCAGCCCCAGCCCAAAACAAAAAAAAAAAAAAAAAAAAATTACCTTACCCATAATATAGAAGTACTTAGCAAATGTATCAATTGAGTACTGTGAATTACGGTAAGAGGCAAGAGTTAGGGTGGGAGGAATTGGGAAAACTTTCACAAGGATATAACTTTGGAATGATTTTTTTTTTAATGAGTAAGAGTTTACCAGGCATAAAGTCTTTGAATATCAGATAATGCATTTTATTAACCATTTTACATCTTTGGAGCTTAGCACAGCGATTATACTTAGTAACTGCTTAATAATTATTGGGTGAACAAACTGAACACATGAAACATTCTGGGTTCAGTCTGTTGACTTCATCATGAAAGTGCAGTTTCTCTTCAGAGAAATTGGGAGTAGCTGGAGAGAAATTGAGAAATCATGAAGGATTCTGATGCCTTTTAAAGAGATTGGATGTGTCCTGTAGACAACTAGGTCAGGAGAAGCTTTTAAGCAGGAGAAGCTTAATTTATTAGGGGGCGGACAATCTGAATTGGAGGAGGAAGAAATAGAAAGCCAGGAAATGATGGGGGATAACTGGGACTGTCCAGGTGAGTTTGGCTTGTGTGACAGCAAGGACTGAGAGGAAGAATCGTAGGGATAAAGCGGGAAAGGAAGGCCGAGAGAGCCCAACTGCAGCCCCTGGGCTGATACCAGACCGTGACCACCTGAACAAGGAAGTCATAATCCAGTCAACGGCTGCAACGGCCAAGAGTAGGTGAACCACTAAGCCAGATGCCTTACAAACTGTGCTTACCTTTCTGCTACACCAGTTTCTGATTAATCTTTATGGCCTGATCTCAAGTCGATGCTGGTCACTGACAGCTGTTCTCTAACAGGGTTTTTTAACATATAAAAATTTACCATTGCCCCTAAGGGGACCCCTGTCCTGCTGGGGAAAGGACCCCTACTCTGTTTGTGGAGTAGGATCTGTTGACTGTCTTTCAATATTTCTGTCGCTGGTTGGCTCGCTTTAGAATTTTCCAGCCTGAAGCCAAGAACCCACTTGGCGAGTTCGGGGGCTTCTCTCCCTTCACTGCCCCCGGACCGGCTGCATTAGAAGGGCTCCTCGGGCTGTCTTGTAGACGATGAGGTAAGGCAGGAAGGATGGAGAAAGTGAAGAATTAGATCAGTAGGTTAGGAGGCTTGTGTGCAATAACGTATGTGAAGCAATTTGTTTTTATTATCTTTTCTGGCTGTTCTGAGTTTAGGAAAATGTCGTACTTTCAGATCGATACGTGCATATTCGAGAGGACATCAAATTTCGGTTTTGAGACTTCTCAGGGAGCATGGAGAGGTAATGGGAGCAGACAGGATGGAAAAGAACGCACTTTAGCTCTTCCCTAAGTAGCCGCTCCTCGTTTCCCCCCCCCGAACTTTGGCGGAAGTCCGCCAGGGAACCCCGCCCACCGGGTAACCCCGCCCACTCCCGCAGCCTAGAGCGTCTCTCCTCACTAGCCAAGCACAGCTCACACGTCATCACCGCGCGCCGACTCCGGGCAAGTCTCAGGCAGGTCCACGTGTACTGTGTTGACTGTCAAAGTCCCTGGAAGCACAATTTCCGGGATCGGTGAGTTTTGAGAGAAATACTTAGATCCGATTCCCGTGAGTCTGCGAATCGCCAAGCATGAACGCCCCAGGCGTGCTGTCCTTTACCCAGCAAAGCTGGGAGCAGGTGCTGGCCAAAGTGAAACGGTCTGTGGTCTACCTGGATGCCGCCTGCGCGGAGAGCCTGCACTGGGGCTGCGGATCCCCGCGGCTCCTGGAGGCGGTGGGGGTTCCTGCGTGTCACCTGCGGGAGTTCGAGCCCGACGCACGTGGTGGAGGGACCGAGCAGCCCAAGGCGGTGTTTGTGTTGAGCTGCCTGCTGAAAGGCCGGACCGTGGAGACTCTGCGAGACATCATCCGCCGCAGTCACTTCCAGTACTGTGTGGTGGTCACGGCGGTGAGCCACGCTGTCCACCTCACCGCTAATCATGTGCCCGCAGCGGCAGCAGCAGAGCTGGAGGGGCAGCAGCCGGTGTTCCAGCAGCTGGAGGAGAAGCTCTGTGAGTGGATGGGCAACATGAACTACACAGCCGAAGTGCTACACGTCCCGCTGTTGCTCGCCCCTGTTGCTCCCCACCTGGCATTGACTCCAGCCTTTGCGTCCCTTTTCCCACTTCTACCTCAGGATGTACATCTCCTGAATAGTGTCCGACCAGACAAGAGGAGACTGGCAAGCTTGGGTGAGGTGGATGCCGCTGCTCTGACCCCAGAGCTGCTACTGCAGATCAGATGTCTGGTGTCAGGCCTCAGTTCTCTGTGTGAGCATTTAGGAGTACGAGAGGAATGTTTTGCGGTGGGTTCCCTAAGTCGGGTCATCGCTGCAGATCTGGCCAATTATGTCCCTGCCAAGAACAGGAAAAAAACTGCAGCGGGCAGGGCATCAGTGGTCTTTGTGGACAGAACTCTGGATCTCACAGGTAAGGGGCATTGCCGTGAAGTTCAACGTAACCATTGTCTAGGTTGTGGGGAATTTTTCATTGATTCAGCATGTATTTTATTTGCCTCCTCCTATATGTCAGGTTGAGGATACAAAGATGAACTAGAGAGACACAGTTCTTATCTCACAGAGTTTATAGTCTAGAGGGGAAACGCAGACAAATGAACTAGCAATTACAATACAATTTGTTAAACGCTGTAATGGGTAAAAATGTCATCAGTGTTTATTGCCTTATTGAACAACTTCATCTAGCTCAAGATATTGGAAAAAAGGGAATAACAGCTGATCTTGAGGAAAGCTGTCCATTTGGGAAGCTTTTTAGTAATTTGTGGGTGTCAGTAAGAGTCTGTAAGAGGACTCTGATTTGTTGGAGATGGGTTAGCAAATGACCCAGTGGAAGAAAAACTACAGCATAACATAACATGAAATTATCATAACTAATATCAAATTACTTGAGGTTTAGGTTTCTTGAAATTAATGTTAAAAAGTGAGGTTGGGGCTTGGCGCCTGTAGCTCAGGGGGCTAGGGTGCCAGCCACATACACCAGAGCTGGCAGGTTTGAATCTAGTTGGGGCCAAAAAATAGCCAGGTGTTGTGGCAGGCTCCTGTAGTCCCAGTTACTTGGGAGGCTGAGGCAAGAGAATATCTTGGGCCCAGGAGTTTGAGGTTGTTGTGAGCTATAATGCCACGGCACTCTACCGAGGGTGACAACTTGAGACTGTGTCTCAAAAAAAAAAAAAAAATGTGAGGTTGGGCTTGGCGCCTATAGTTCAGTGGTTAGGGTGCCAGCCACATACACCAGGACTGGCGGGTTCAAACCCAGCCCAGACCTGCTAAACAATAATGGAAACAACAACAAAAACATAGCCGGGCACTGTGACGGGCACCTGTAGTCCCAGCTACTTGGGAGGCTGAGGCAAGAGAATCGCTGTCTGAGTCTAGAGAGAATAATCAAGAAACTGACACTGGTAATTATTCCCTTACATAGGTCAGAAAAGAAAAATGTTGAATGAAGCTATAAAAAACCACAATAGGTATATTTGCGTTTTTGACCATAGTAAGGTTAATTTTCAGATCATGAAATAGAATATAAGCTAAATAGTAGTACTGATGTGTGAGCCCAGTTACATGATTTGAAAAACCACGTGTCTAGTCTGTAATTTAAATATAAATAATAACTGCAGCACCATAATCTCTTAGAGAATTAAAAAGATAACACCTGATGACTATATACTTGTTGAGTTTTTTAATGGATGATATATACTGCTTATACTTCTATTTCTTTATGCCCAAAGTGTAACCCATTATCTCATAATTAATCAAAATTTCACATAATTTTGTGTTCTCCCCCAAGACTTCAGTTGGACAAACCATAATGTCTACTGCTTAGTATCACGGCACTAGCTCCTTTATGACTGTGGTATCTATTTCTGGCACAAGATTCCTTTGTAAACACAAAATAAGTGAGGTGAGCATAAGTTCTGCCTTTTATAATATTACGATATAAAGCAACAAAGAATGATTTAGAAAAGAAGTGCACTAGAAAGACAAAGTTGCCCCACGGTGGCAATCATTCATATTTTCTCTCTCCTCAAGCCTCCAGATCTTCTTTCCTGTACTCACCCTAAGCTTTCTTGATTCTACCATCACTGCAAAAAAAAAATAAGCTGTTAGAAAAATTCTGTATCTTCCATACCTACCCCCTTTTCTACATCTGTACCCATGAGACCTGTGCCAGCCCTGCTGTCTAATGTCAACTTTTTCTCCTGTTTAACTAAATCCTCCCTTTTCACTTCTAGAATAGATTAACCATCTTTTGAATACCTGCCTCCCCCTTTCCTAGACCATCATTTTTTTTCTTTTCTCCAAAGTTTCACCATTTACATAAAACAGGATGGGACATCTTTCTTGACCCCTTTTGCTCCCCTAACTTCAGTTCCATTTTTTTTTCCTTTGCTTTGTTTTTTAGCAAACTTGCAAGAGTAGTCTATACTTGCTGTCTCTACAGTCATCTCCAATTTTCTCTTGACTCCACTTCAATTAGGCTTTGATTTTCCAATACTTTACAGGTTTTTCCTTTGTCAAAGTCACCAGTGACCTTTCATATTACCAAATCCAGCGTTCAATTATTGCACTAATTTTACTGAACTTTAGAGCAGCATTTAACACAGCAAAGCTGCAACTAGTACATATAATTTTAAAAGCACAAAAGATACACGGATAAACAACCACTTAAACCAGTTCCCATCAAAGTGTAGAAAGAAAACATGTCCTTTGCATATACACAGCCCTCCCGTGGTCTCTCATCACAAATCCAGGTTCCTTGCCATTGTTTTCAAGGACACATATGATCTGCCTGTTTCTCTCTTGTCACATAGTACTTTCCTGGTCCTCTGGCTACTTTGCCCTTCCTCACACATGCCAAGTATGTCCCAGCCTCAGGGCCTTTGAAATTCTTTTGCAGCTCTTTTTGGGATGTTCTTCCTGCAGATATCCACAAGACTCTCCCTGCTTCTTTCTGCTCCTCGGAGAGGCCTTCCCTCATGACCTTCTCTGACACTCTCAACACCTTCCCTTGCGTTCTTTGTCAGCTTTTGCCCCTGCCTGATATTACTGCTGTGTTTCCCTGAAAATAAGACACTGTCTTATATTTATTTTTTCTCAGAAAGACACCCTAGGGCTTATTTTCAGGGGATTTTTTTTTTTTGCAGTTTTTTTTTTGGCTGGGGGCTGGGTTTGAACCACCACCTCCGGCATATGGGACCGGCGCCCTACTTCTTTGAGCCATAGGTGCAGCCCGGGATGTCTTATTTTTATTAAGCATAATGCAACAACCTACATTTATTCAAATGCAGTTAAGTCATCTTCTTCTGCAACCTGACAGGGGGAGCCGACCTTATTGGTGGGGCTGGTGCTAGTGATGCGTGAACTCCTTTCCCCTAGCTGTTCACATGAGCGCAATAGGATGCCTGCGACCTGTGGTTACCACAGGCACCCACACAAGTGCCAAGGGCTTGGAGAAAGGAGCTGTGGCAGATAAAAGGTATTCCAGTCTTCCTTACCGCTCCACCCAAAATGCAGGGCGTGGCTATGCCATGCCCATCACTAAGTCTTATTATTGGGGTAGGGCTTATATTTTAACAAATGCATAGAAATCCTGAAAGGGCTTATAATTGATTATTTATTGCCTGTCTTCTCCCACTTGAATGGGAACTCTGACAGGAGGGATTCTGTTTTCTTTTTTATTTATTAATCAGCACTCAGAAAAGTGCCTTGAAAATAGTAGGTGTTCAATAATTATTTCTTAAGTGAATGGATGAATGAATGGCTTGAAGGTTGCAGCCAACTAGCTATTCATTGAGGTTAATGCAGTTACTTTTTTTCTTAGTTTTTTCACTTTTTGGCTCTCCGTTGAGGAATTGAACCCTGGTCTCTGCATAGCATACTTAGTATTTTTAATTGAAAATTCTTCTGATATTCTTAATTCATATGACTAGTTATTCACAAAGGCCCACAGTAAAATTTGGGAAAGGAAATAATGATATTAACTATTCATGTTTATATGAATATTATATTGATAAAAACCACTTTCACATTACCGTATTTGATTGTCTTAAAAGATAGGTAAGTTAAGTGTTCACTATCATTTCAAAAATAAGGAAATTAAAGCTTAAATGCATAAATGTTAAGTAGTTGGACAGGTGTGATAGTATCATGCCAATATTTTCTATGATGTCAAGTTTCATCATTCTTTTTTAATTGCCAAAGTGAGGGGTAATAATGTTATGTGATTTGTGTAAAGTCCTCCCCCCCTTTTTTTTTGAGACAGCGTCTTTGTCACCCTCGATAGAGTGCTGTGGCATCACAGCTCACAGCAACTTAAAACTCTTGGGCTTATGAGATCCTCTTGCCTCAGCCTCCCAAGTAGCTGGGACTCTAGGCATCCACTACAATGCCCAGCTATTTTGTTTTTTGGTTGTAGTTGTCACTATACTTGTTTGGCAGGCCCGGGATGGATTCGAACCCGCCGGCTCTGGTGTATGTGGCTGGCACCCTAGCTGCTGAGCTATAGGCTTCGAGCCAAAGTTCTCACTTTCTTTACATTTGTTAAGAATCCCTCTGCCCACAGATGGAATTCCAAGGTGTTCTTTAAATAAGTGAAGGTATTCACTAGAGGACTGGTATGGGAAGAGACATTTTAGGCACATAAAATCATGTGAAAGAATATTTAATGTTTAAGGGGAACAAATAGGAAGTTTCTCTGGGTTGATTCAAAGCAACAGGTAAAAAGAAAAAAAAATTTTGCCACTCTGTCAAAAACCTAGATGAAACCAAGAAAACAGTACTCTCAGTAGAATGCTGAGAGATTGTGCCCGCATGATGGCAAAGCAGGGAGAGTGAATCCCCCAAACTTACGTCGGCTATTTCCCAAGTACATTTAAAATTTTAAGAGCTCCGCTTCCTTCTTACCTTCTTGAGGAATTCTATTATAGCATTTAGGTAGGACTGGGTAAGGTATGTTCCAGCGGGGAGGAAGATCATGGCCGGGCCTAGGGAGTTGGATTCCAAGTGGGATGAGGTCTCCTGAGTGGCATGAGGACGCCTGCTTGCTGTTGTAGGTAGCAGCAGCAGTGGCCTGTGGGTGGGGGATGGGTAATCAATAGGGTGACCAGACTTCCCGATTTTGGCGGGACAGTCCTGCTTTTCAACAATTTGTCGCATCCCACGAGGCCGGACTTTTGGAAAGAATGCAGGAACAGGCTGGAGAACAAGAAGGGAATATACAGTTTTTGGCCGCCATACGGCTATTTCGCCAGAATATGAGTTTTATATTATTTTTGTTAATTTTATAATGTTAAACTGTAATAAATAATTGCTGAGAAGTGATTAT